TTGGCTGTGCTCAAGAAAGGTAAGAAATGATGAAGAAACACGGGAGGTAAATAATGTCTGAGTCAGCAGAAAATGACTTTACAAAAGTCTGTCTCAACACCTGAGATGTCTCATGAACAAATGGCTGCAATTGCTGCAGTGTATGCAAAACATTTCCTAGCACAACCTGGAGGGCAGGGAAAAAAAGAAAATTAAGGAATGTTCCATCAGTTTAAACCACAAGGAAAAAGGGGAGGATACTGGAGAGGGAGAGGATCACTCCTTGTTCTTCTCCAACCTGCTTTACGTGAACAATCACTTCTCCTTGTGGTCATGACAAATGTGAAGCTACCTGGACAGCAGTGACCTAAAACTTAATTGCTTTTATAGGAAATGAAGAATTGGGGAGGATACTAGAGAGGGAGAGGATCACTCCTTGTTCCTCTCCAACCTGCTTTCTGTGAACAATCACTTCTCATCCTCCTTGTGGTCATGACAAATGTGAAGCTACCTGGACAGCAGTGACCTAAAACTTAATTGCTTTTATAGGAAATGAAGAATTAAAACTATTATAAAAAACCCACAGTGTCTGAAGTACAAGCTACATTTCACTTTCCCCAAAGAAAGGTTCTGAATGCCAGAATTCCCTGTAAAGCATGGTGGGATGCTGGAAACATCAGGAATTCTTCCTAGGGCATGGCAATACTGTCTTATGAGGCCAAGTTTGAGAAAGAGCAGAATAAATTGCTTGTATGAGCACCTGACACATGGCTTTGCTTGTTGAAAGTGATTGCAAAGCTCAAGAAGTTCTCCGCATATTTGGCCTTTGATCTTGTCAGGTCCATCCATAAGATCAAACCTATTCAGTGCTGGTGGAAATATCACTAGTGAAAAGAAAAGCCACAACAACCAAGTCCCTACAGAGGTCTTGTGTAACATGAGGGTGCCTGAATATGAGAATCAATACGTGTCCCAGAAGCACAGGTTGATAATTAAAAGACCAATTAATCCCTGGAGCAATTTAACCTTTTTCCTCATCATCACACATTGTAGCTCTAATGCATCTTCTGTGCTGCATCTTGTACTTTCTCCATTTTTGGCATGTTCCTGAGACAGCTGCAACGTGTTGAAAACAATGACACAGAGCTGTTAGACCAACTTCATGGTATCCTGGGACATCGTGTGTTTAGGGGAAATACTCTGCTGTCCCATTAGCCACTCAGCTCCACTGGTGGAAGTTCAGCTCCTCTCGGTTATTCTCAGAGGTAGCACTGCATCTGCTGGGAATTTATTCCAAGTGTGGCCCTGCTCATGCTTGTGAATAATTCCTTTTGCAGTTGACAATGTAGGGGAAAGACATTGAAGTGGGGATGGGAAGAAATTCTTGTCTGTGCACCAAACCATGTTTAGTTAGTTCTGCTAAAGGTTTCTCCCACCTTTCTTTGGCTCATTAGAGGCAGCACACTGAGCACAATGGACTTGATCTGGTGTGAGAAATCCCCATTCTCACAGGATGCCTCCATCAGAGCAGGCACCCCCCTGACAGCTATTACCTGCCTCCAATTTACTGACCACTGGCTCTGACAGAACTCTATAAAGTGCACAGCAAATAGTTTATTCCTGCAAAGCAGGGTCCAGCCTGCTCCTTTATCCCCCTCACAGCAGTGGTGAGAGAATAAGGCTGCAGCACACCCAGAGCACAGAGAGCCTGAAGAGGAAAATTAAAGGACACAAACAGTTATGAACCTTGACAGGTGAAAATGTTTGCTGTCGGAGGGAGATGCTGAGATGCCAAGTCAATGCCATGCACAGCAGACACCAGGGCAAAGAGAGACAAATGCAGGACATGAACTGCAGGGATTTCAAAACAGAGGAGATCTCTGGCTCCACAGCTTTTGATCTCTGTACCTTTGCAATGAGACATTTCATCTGGGAGTCAGCTTTATCCAGTGCTGGATTAACTTCTTGTTCCACAGCTTGACCTGTCACCCAGAGTATTACAGAGATGGGCACTCAGAAACCCGTACACAGAACACACATTAGATTGAGATAGATGTATTTAACTTCAGCACTGTGTGATACATCACACTGCTCACAGCTTAATTTCAGCTTGATTTCCACAAACAAAACCGTAACAACTAAGAAAAGCTCGTGTTTTCATCCAGGCTGAACAATATTATCTTTTCTTTTGATATTGGTCAATACTGCTATGGAAAGCCTCATCCATATTTGTATCTCTTTCTAGACTCATCAGCAGGACAGTCTTTGGGACACATTTTCCTTTGCCAGAAAACATTAGCTACAGTAAAAGCTACTGCCTCCCACTTAAATATCTGTCATGCATATCATTTCCTGGGACCAGGACACTGCAGACTTCTGGAACAGGGATAGCTTGTAAGCTGTTCAAAACACACTGCTATTCACTATTTAAAGCATTTAAGGAAAAAAATTCACCAAGTAACCACCCAGAACTTTTCCTGTGTTACACCTGAAGGATCTCCAAAGCTGATTTTGCTTTGGCAAAGGTACACAGAAATGTGGGTATTTTTATTCACACCTACTCACACTTTCTGAGGCAAAGTATAGAAAGCATGCAAGGATACTGTGCATTTTTCTGGTAAGCACACAGGAAAACAGAGCTAATTTTAAACTACAAACATTTCACTCAAGCCCACAGAGGTGGGTCTATCCTAGAAAGCAGCAGAGTATAATTTCCATTGATGTCATGATATACCAGCAGTAAAGCTGCAAGGTTTTGGTGCTACCTCACAGAACTAGATTAGACATAGTATTTACAGATTAATATTAGACTGAATGTCACCCCTCAGCTTCCTCCAGAGAAACTTCTGATAAAGAATAATTTATTTATTTTTTTTCAAAACCTATGAGTAGAGAGAGGGATGTAGAAATAGCTGCCCTCCTGTCTGTGTCAGTGAGCCCTCTGTATTCTGCATTGTTCCATTGGCTCCAATATTCCCACTAAAACCAAACCACGGAATTCTCTTGGCTAGGCTCAGAGAAACATGGGAGGAAAGTATTAATTTTCTGAATCAGAATCAATATGCTGCACAATCATTTTCCATGAATTATTTATTCTTAAAGAGAATATGCTAGCAAACACTTTGTTCCCTTCACACAGCCTTTTGCAACCAGCTCCTGCAATGTGACACCTCTGGGTGGGATTATCAATTCAGCTGCTTACCTGGTCTGCAAATGGTAACAAATTACATCCAAGCTAGTAAAATTTCACAAAATTGCAATTAGACCCAGTGAAGTGAAAATTATCAGCTACCTATCAACTGCCTGTTAGCAATGACATTCATTCCTGGATGCCACAGAGGTGCTCACTATTCCTGGGCAAACTTGAAGAGGTAGAAGAACTTGCTTTCAGCTACTGAGGACACATGGGAGTTTTACAAAGTAAGAAAAATTTTAGTTTTTGTTAACTTCTTTAAAAATATTTGTCACTAGAGATCTTCCTTCTGTACAGATCAACTACCACACAGTAAATATATAATAGGATAAGTAGAATGAATTCCCATGAATATAAAGTCAGCTAAAGGAAAAAGTAACAGAAGGCTACAAAGATCAGAGAAAATGCTCACTGAGTTACTGTGACCAGATGGCTTTTTGTCAATGTTTGAGAGAAGTCAGGGTTTCATGTTTTTCTTCCCCTACCTTATTTTCATGCCAAGGCTCTTCTAGCTCCAGCTCAAAACTTTGATTTATATCCCAAAACCATCCACCTAGCCAGGCTGCAGCAGCTCTCTCTAATGACGTAGCAATGGTTTTTTGGATGGCTGTCCACAACACGGATGGTGTTTAGCACCCACCTTAACTGCTTCATTTATATGTTCACACTACAAGTGAGCACAGCTAGTCCAAAGGAATGTCTCTACATTTATCCCTCATTTTAGACCATCCCTCATAAACATTTAAAACTGTGAACAAGCTTTCAAGAATGGGTTTTGGCATGAGGAACAGGTGGTGCTCATGTTGGGTAAATGTTCCTGCAGGGGAGAGACTGGAAGTCTGCTATAAATTACAGGGGTATTTCTGCAACTGAAAAACTTGATGTTCATTGAAGAAGCTGAGAGAGCTCTTTGATGACAAAGCCATCGGGGAGCTTCAAATCATGTCACATCACCAAGTCTTCTTTCTCCAAGCATCTTGGAAAAACATTCTTGCAAACATATGTGATGCACATAGCACTAGCAAGTGATGACGGCCTAGAGAAATTATGTATTTCTGCTTCATCTCAAATTCAAGCTGAATAGTCTCATACTCAGTCAATTTTCCAGGTCAAATTCCTCTTGTATTTATAATGGGGCAAATTCACTTAAATACCCCCCACTGAACATAGGAAGCAAGTAAATTAATTTTGCAATTTGGAAAAACATGTCCTAAATAACCAGCAGGATCAAAACTTCTTTCTGTCCATCAAAAAGTCATAAATCTATGCTCTAAATGACTAAAGGACTCCATGCAGTGAGAAAAAGAATTTATAGGAATATACTTGCAGTATGAGGTCCACAATTTCTAAATCTTACTATCAATGTCCTTTTATAATCTGCAATACTTGTTCCCTACAGTGCAGCACTTAGATAATGCCTTTCTTATAAGAGAGCCTCTCCATGGAGGATCTGAGCTGGACAGAACCCCATGTGACAGTGAGCAGGAAAATGTTTCCTGTTGATGAATTTTTTCTGGGGCAGTACCATCCCCATGCGCCAGTGAACAGTTTTGATAGGAAAATGGAAAATCACTGGAAAACAGAGAACAGGTACTTCTCTTTCAACTTTTTTTCCTCCACATGGATGGCTGCAGAGCATGGACCCACTGTTTCAGTAGTTTGTTTGGGAGTCAATTACATCTGAATTCCGATTACTCTCCATACACTGCAGCTTCTAAGATACAAATCTCAGCCACAAGGAGAGTCCATTTCTGCAGATTTAAACGCAAAGCATGCCCCACCAACTCCATTCCCACAGCAGAGCCCTCTGGATATGACAGTCACTGACCTTTGTGCCCGGTCTGTGATCTCCTCCTCCAGATCCAGCAGGAGTGCTGCCTGAGCCATCAGCTCCTTGCTGCAGGGCAGGGATTTGAGGTGCAGAATCAGCAAACCAAGGCAAAATTTGCTTCCCATCTCCTCCAGCTCCTGCGTTCCCAGCTGCAGGCCCTGATGGAGAGAAGCACAAGGTTTCATGATTCCTACATATGGAAGTTTCCCCTACAGAATAATTTGGAAATTAATTAACAGCACATGGTCTACAGAAGCTATCCTAAAATAGCCTCTGTTTTACAGCAGGGGAAACAGAGGTAAATAGTTTAAATGTCTCAGATTTTCAGAAGTCGTTGTAAGAATTAGACTTAGACCCCAGGAGAATCTGACTGTAAATCCACTTTTATAAATCATCCAGTTTTTCTTTTTCTCTGTAGAGGAGTTACCTACCTAAGTAATGGGGGAAAAAGAAATAAGTCCTGTGATTATAAACATTAGGCAGTGGCAAAGATGGAAAAGGGAACTGGACAAGGGGAGAAAAGAGAGGAAGAGATCTTTAACAAGTTATGAATTGTTTTTTAAGAAAATCAATTGCAAAGTAATTGCAAAATAACAAACACCTCTAAGGAGTTTCTCAGCCTGTTAAAGGTGGTGGCACAAACAGGGTTTGGATTATCAACTTCATCTTTCAAGAGAGGAATTCTCCAAGCTGTGTATCTTGCTGGCTGTGAATAGTCTGTGTTTGGTTTTTCACCAAAGGCCTGCATCAGAGTCAGTCAGTGCCACTGATGGCAGTTTCATGATTCTGGTGAGAGCAGGGCAGGAGACAAACAAAGCTCAGATATACCAGAAAGAAACTAAAACTGCAGAGTCCCTCATCTTTGGCACTTAGAGACTGCATCACCCATCAGGGGCTGGACCAGCTGCTGCCTCTGCCAATAACAGCCCTGTGTGGTTTTGCAGCAAAAAACATCTCCGCAGCCAAGCTTCTGAGAGACTTCCAGCTCCATTCCCAGGCTGTTTCCTTAGCAACTCTCAGAAGTCCAGAATAAGCCCTGGCCCTAAGCATGGTGTGAGCTGCACATCACTCTCCACTAGATGTTTGTTAGTGAGCATCTCATGGGTACTGAAAATATTATAATTTATATTATAAAATATAATGCGTTCAGTAATCCATGACAGGGGACAGAGCTCTGCTCTTTTCCTTTGTAAAGTTATTTTTCTAAAATGCTTTGGGATCCTGGAGTCTGAGCACCTCTGTATAGCTGGAAGATTATTTCCCAGCCCAAAACACACAGGTGGATGGAAGAAAGAAGAGATTTCACACATAAATGTCTGCAACTCTCCTGAGTAGTTTTTCAGTGCATTTTTGTTAGAGGACAGAAACTATTAGCAGAGCACCACCATAACTTCTCTCTAGCAGGTCCAGCACATGCAAAGATCATCTGGCACAAAAACCACCCTCTCTGATCACAAGTACATTTTCCTATGGACAAGATATTGCAATTCAGTTTCTTTTCAGAGGCCTTATGAGCAAACCATGAATCCATAGTTATGATGAACATAATCCAGAGCTCAAACAAATTCTGAGTGGCTGGACAAGGAAGGACCTGCTCAGAAGAGCACACTCAATCTGAGGGAAGAGCCTCAGTGCTAGGCAGGGTCTAGGGCCCCAGGAAAACTGATTTTTGCTCTCTGAAAAGTCTCTTAAGCATGTTTATCACAGTGGGTAAGTGTCTAATATCATTTCTACTCTCCTCTTATATTCACCTCTACTGCAAGCTTTGCCAAGCAAGATATGGGTACAAAAAAGTTTAGCAATCATTTATAAGAAAAACAAAAATGGAGGGAGAAGTTTATGGGAACTGAGGGTCATTAACACAAAACAATAAGAATGCTCAGCAGCTCTAAATAGATTCTTAAATGTTTTATTATTTTACTTTAAAAGACTTAAGGTATTGTAGTGCAAGAGTTACAACCAGCAGGCAGAAGTGGTGACATTTCAGAGAAAAAAGATGCCATTTCCACAGCAAGAGAGTTATTTTCTCAGGGGCAAAAAATACAAAGAACATCTCGAGGCTTTCCCTGGGGTGCATCTCAGGGTCTTGCTTCCAAGATTAAGGCAACATACTAAACAGCTATCAAGGAGATGCAAACAGTGCCTGAGCTGAAACTCAGCCTGTGGCTTTATGACTCCCTAGAGCTTTACTCAGGATATGGAAAGGCCTTAAAAAACTATGAGCAAAACAACAATAATAATGATATTAACACTATAACACACCTCAGAAACCTAAGACAGTAACTGCTCATGCACTGAAGTCAGCTGCTGTATGATGCACCCATACTGCTTTGATATTAGACAGCTCAGGAGTAACAGCTAGAAACTCAGCCAGAGGATTGCCTGCTAGCATACTTTATTCACTTCAAACATGGACATCTATTTATTTTAACTCAGGCAATTTTCTCTCTCCTTTCTCCCTCCCTCAGCAGAGGAAGGAAGGAGCTGGAGGTGCAGAACACGACTGCCATTAAACTGAAGCTGGTGACAGAGCTGACATGTTGAACTAATGTTATTGATGGCATCTGCCAGCAATGCCAGGACCCGGTGTAGTGGCCAATAATCAGTCCCACCTGCATCACTGAAAGGGAAGCCTGGCCTCCAGGCATTTCCCTTGTAGCCATGTGGCACAGCCAGCTGCAAAAATGTTGAGATTGTGCTTACAACTCAGACTTATGAAAATATCCTATAAGAAACAAAAGAAAGAAGAAAAGAAGAAAGGTAGAAATGATGCAGTCTGGTTTGGTTGAGAAGCTGGTAGGAAGCAGAGCCCCATGGCAGGGAAGCTGTCTGGGTGTTACCAAGTGACAATACACGGTCTGTTTGTCGCAGCTGTACAGGAGGAAGCTGCTCTGCCTGCCAGCACCTCCCCTGCAGTGTCCTGCCAGCCTGGATTCTCAGTGACCCCATCTTCTTCTCTGGCACAAGGCTTTACAGCTCTGTCCCCTCCTCTGGTCACATCTGTGTGACCAGTGGAGCGTGGTGCAAAGCCTCCCATGCCAAAAGGTTCCAGGCGAATTCTGAAGGAGGAAGCAGCACCCCTGCATCAGAAAGCTGCAGATAAGCTCATCAGTCCTAATTAGTCCAGCTTCAGACTAACTAAAACACCCTACTTTAATGATCAGCTCAAAGCTCCACACAGGTTTTGCTCTCCATTACATCAAAGTACCAGTCTGGACCAGCTTCAGCTTGATGCACCACATTCCTCTGCATGATGCAAATTGGTCCCTTGGGCTCTGTCATGCAATAATCTTCTGCAGACATCATGTTAAAGGATAACAGGTTAATTGTTTCCTGGCTATTATAGAGAGTAATGGAGCTGAAAAACTTTTCTTAAACCCTTTTCACATTTTCATACTGTAACAGACAGAATGGGAGGAGGTGATGCCTAATAACAGCCCAAGTGTGAGGTATATTTGTTTTCCACTGTAATACGAAACAGAGGAACAAGAATAAAAGACTTATCATCTGGCCTCAACACTGTCAATACAAATTTTCCTAACAAAATTGATCAAATTGTATTGGAAAACCAGTGCATTCATGCTAGGTACTGATGCCTCAAATGAATACCCACAACTAAATGTTTCCAATATCTCTCAGCTTGGCCTCAAAATACTTCCTAGGCTAAATGACAATGTAATGGAAAAACTTTATTATTCATAACTCATGTGCTTTAAATACTCCAGGAGACAAAGACAGTGATAATTTTGTATCACAGATATTGTTGAAGGAGGTGGAAAGACTCCAGGAGTTAAATTAGAGATTTCTCCACAAGGGTAATGTGAATTACAGTAAAATTAGAGTTGGGAGATACTAATAAATACAAGTAGAGAGAAAATTTCAGAGGGATCAATTTTTTCCTAAAAGGGATTTTTGACATTCAGCACAGCCACATCAGTGGCCTCTCCTGCTTTAGGTCATTGTTCAGTCCTTGGGGCAACAGCATTTCCCTGCAAACCCACTTCCAGTCAACACATATACACACACACTTACAGAATATTCCCTGCATCTCAACAGCTTTACACATGCACAATGGCTATGCCCTAAGGCCGGGTATAAATAAATTGACAGTCTGGTTTCTCACTAATTCCATCAGTGAGCTCTCCCTCGGAATACTAATCAAAACCATTTGGAAGCTCTAGAGGACAAACTTAGGGAGCCGAATGAAACATTTGGTGCCTGGTGTCTGCAGCCTTAATTTTAGCTTGAGCCAGCCCTGAAGGTTACTGTACTTTCAACCCCTGTGAACGAAAATACACAGACACCTGCTGGGGACCTGGCTATTTGGACAACGAGGACAGCAGGGAATAACTCAGGTTTTCTCAGGGCCCAGATATCCCTCAGCAGCAGGAATGGTATGCAAAACAGATGCAGCAGAGGGGATGGGAATTTGGGCCAAAACATATCAAGAGGATTAAGTGAGTGGAAAAGGCTGAAGATGCAAGGGAAAAAAATAAAACAGGCTAGCAGGAATTTCTTGAAAGATGAGAGGGACTGGAGTTAGAGACAGGAGATAAAAGGGTGGGAGAGATAAAAGGATGAGAAAGAAGAAAGGGTTGTTGAGGTCAATGGATGCTGATACAGAGGAACAATAACCAGAAGAAAGCTAATGGCAACCTTGACCACCTTGGCACCTTTGGGGAAGTGTGCCTTGCTCTGCACATCTGTCCTCATTACATCTGGTGCTCTGTCCTCATTACATCTGGTACTCTGCCCACACGGTGAGGAGAAAAGTCCTGACTTGCTTTGAATCTCCTCACAAAACTTCTGCTGAGCTCAGCCAGTGTTTTGGCTGAGCAAACTTCAACAGCACAGCAGTAATTATTGTTTTAATCATTCAAATGGGCTCTTTTACTATTAAAATGTATGTATGTCACAGGCAACATTGTTCAGGGAACAGACTGAAAGGGAAGATGAAATACCTTCTCCTTCCACTCTGCCAGACAGAGTCCTGGGCAAACTGCTCATAGAAGAACCGGGGATTTAACAAACAGAACTTGTGGCAAATTTCTGTAGAAAAAACAGTTATATTAGGTTATGAAGTCTCCAGTTCTGTTGTGGGGAAATATTTTTTTCCTTCTTTCCACTGACTAGCTATTTGTCTGACATTTCCATTTCC